TTGGTCCTGTGCCGGCCATTAGGTCCACACTAGCCTTAACAATGGCGACAGCTGTCATGGCGTAAGGGTTGGAAGACCAAAGAGTGGCCGTGGGGTAGCCATTACGTGCAACAAGAGAGGCGTAAAAGAGATATCGTCGAGTAGAGAGGTGATCCTTGATGTGAAGCCTGTAATAACGGGAGAATCGGTAGAGGTCAGGAGGATATTTGAGGCCTCGCCAGAGCGTTATTCGCGTCGAGGCGTACATTTTACTTACGCCCAACTACTTCCTCCCGCCTAATGAAAATCATGATATCTCTGGTTTTATCTCGGACTACATAAAATCGGCCGTCATTTAGTGAAGGACAAGAGGTAGCATAAATGCACATAACGCTTGCATGTGCACATATACCGGCATGCTCGTGTGATGGTGCGCAGTGAAAGCGACACTTGACGCGGCTCAACTGACAGATTAGTGGGAAGGAGACAACAAATTCACATGCAAGCATGCACGGCTTCGCGGTTAATTTGTGAAAGCGTAAAAGCTAGGCATTTCTGAGGGGACAAACACATCGGGAACGCATATCTCGATGAGGACACTTACGTTCCTTCTATCCCACCAATGCACTGACAAGCCTGGCGAAGAGGGGAGCCGATTTGGCGACCAAATGTCTACCTTCCAAATTTCCCACAATTGGCCTATTGGCCATCGGTCCATACAGTTTATGCATGACCGGCGTTCCTGCAGGTGGAACGGCTGGCATGACTAAAAAGACAAAATATTCTAGAAAAGTCACAGAGTCACCAAGTTGATTAAACTGGTCTGTAAGTACCATCGCAAATTTCCCCACTGGCCGATAGTCAAAAAGAGGTTCTTTTAGAAGCAAACGAAGAAATTTCGCTTTGTAGGCATTACACGAATACTATATTCATAATTAGCATAGTTATAAATAAGTATTACCATTATAAGTATCTCACTGAGATGTGCGCTCATGAATAAGGGTCCTGATTGCTGAGAGAGCGAACTAATCAAATGATGCTGTGTCTACCAATATCTATACAATCTTGTCTTTAGTTTTACGTACGTATAGCATTTGAGAGAGCAGGATAGTCATTTGAATTAGTCTTAACTTTAAACTTTCGCAAAGATGAATTCCAGCTCTGACGAGTTCTGGCAAGTGGCATAACGGCACTATCACGGTTCGAGTCCCGCTCGACTGCTGATGAGACCTAGGCGAGGCCGAAG